CCATAATCTCGGCATAAGTCAATATTCGTTTGTTCTCAACATACTGGAACAAAAAAAAAAATCTTCTTGTTATTTACATTTGACTTATATATATATTCTCCAAGCATTGTTTCAAAAAATCGTTGGCTCAGCAAATATTTTAGGATGTTNGTTTGTTCTCAACAGATTTCAACAAATAACAAACCTTTTTAAAAGAAAAAGTTATAACAAACCTTATTATTATTTGGACACTTTAATATTTTCAAACAATAATGATAATTTAATTAACAAAAATTTCTATTTAGTTAGTTTAACAAAAACATTGTTTCGACAAGTCATAATTAATACATTTTATTATTTTAATTAGTTAGTTCAAAGTTAAGCCATGTCATATTTTNTTACAAACCATNTNATCTTTTTTGACAANCCACATCATAGTTTTNAACTAATGAAATTAAAACAAATAAGCAAACTTAATAAATCTACTTCTCTTTTAATAGGGAGAGGATGACATGCTAAAGAGTCTTGCAAGGATTCTCACTTGATCCGTTACCGCTGGAAACAAAAGAGGTTAGATTTCAAGGCGCTTGAACGCAAGCAACCAAAAAAAAACAAAACAGAGAGGGACATGTCAGAAAGAGAGTTTTAAGGTTTTCTTCTGAAACTTCTTTTAAAGCCCACTTTGGCTCGTTCGACGCTGCCTTAGTCTTCCACCAATGCTATCTGGATTAGGTTCGAGAGATGCTTTCCTCTTACTTCTCGTTTCTCGAGTACTCACTGAGGTACTTTCGATATCTGTCTCATTGCATTGGATCTTGTCCTGAGCATCGAGCACAATAGTCTGATTTTCTCCAGGAAACAAGTAACAATCTGCTCTTGTATCCGAATTCGAGTTTTGTCCTGTCCTCTCTTGAATTCTTGGAAGACCATCACCAATGTTGGTACACGAATGGTCTTGTTTATCCTGCTTTGGCGGCTCAGGATAATCTATGAGCTGAACATCAACCAATGAAGTTTGATCATCCAGTGAAGGCAAGAAGAAGCTCAGTGATCTTCTAGCTGAATCCGGATTCTCGTTCGTATTTTCATCTTCCTCTTTCTTCAAGTAATCACCATTCTGTACTACTTGTTCAGAGTGATCATGATCATCATCAGCAGCAGCAATCTTGGGAAGTGATGTAGCTTCTTGAAAGGAAAGTGATCTCTTTGCAGAAGCTTGATTTGGGGTGGCATCATCAGTTTGGGACCGTTTGGTTTGAATCAGATAATGTGCAACAGACTTATACCCAAGTTTAGCGATCTGGAAACAATGCAAAGACAAACATTTTCAGCTCTTGATTCTATCCAAGAATCGACAACGACAAGATAATCAAACGAATAATTGAAATGACAACGCACCCTTCTGTAAATCGGACCAGTTGGAACCCATCCTTTATGGTTCCGGCACATACTGCAATTGCAAATCCCGCGACAAACAGGGCAAACCCATTTTGGATTCTCAAGAGCTTCAAGCACATGTTCACCATATCTGTTCATCAACAATATAAACACATTTAGTAC